AGGGAAAGTAAAGCGAAAAACTCTTGCTTTTTCTCCTTCGACATCATCCTTGCCTCCCAGGGCAATGCTCTCCTCCACCCCACCCCAAACCTGCTGCACCCCTTCTTTATAGATTCTTAGGAATGGAAAGAACACCAAGAGTTCTTATGTTCTGGCCTCTTCCCATCAGTATAATGCAATACCACTTATTTTGCATTTCTGCAGTATGACTTCAATTTTCATTTTAAAAACCTTTCGAGCAGAGAAGTAACCCACTTCCATTGCTGTGTGAAATTGAATGATACTCTTCATAATGAAGTTTAAGAAGAGTATCGTCACTATCGTTTTCAGTGAGGAGCCCCTTTCATTAGACTGACACAAAATTCAGGAGCTTCTCATATCTTTTTCTCCGCCAAACCACGTGCTCGTGGCGTTTAAATTCTGTTTTTGATCTCTAGTTTAATAAGGATACATCATTGGAAGGTTGGGGAATGGCATGCCTATCTCTGATATTAAGTACTTATTGGATCATATTTAGTATAATTTGCCCTGAAGTCTTAGAAAATAACTGACAGCAAAAGTGGAAGTTGAAGAAAAGAAGTAGCTGGTGAAATGAAGGGGTCATTTGATGCAGCCGAGCTGAGAGTCAGAAGATCTGTGTTCTAGTTTTCAGGCCAGATGGGTCACCTTCTCCATTATAAAGTAGGGACAGTGGCCTCTCTAGTGGGTTATGGTGGGGCATGAAGCAATAATCAATGTGAAATAACTTCGGGGGAGAAAAATGTTCTCGATACATGCAAAGTGATATCACTATGTTGCCATACGAAATGTGCCAAACTTCAATTCTCGAAGATAAAGTTACTTACATTTCAAGGGACAAAATCCAAATAGCTTATCTGTGTCATAATCTGTAGTGGTTCCACACCAGAGCCACCCGTCCGAACGCCCGGCACTTGTGCAATCAGCATACCACTTGTTTTCAAACTTGAATGGAAATGCACAGGTTGCTCCATTTGCATTGCCTAATAGCGTGTACAAGGCTAAAAAAAAAAAAAAAAACATACTGGTTGGCACTTAGAATGTAAGTGATCCTTCTGAACGCTGGCTTTCCAATAAGGAGTACCGGAAGAATCGCTCTTACTCTTCTGATCACACTTGGTGTCCCCACACAGGGATTCCTTTAATTTCCCTTCTCTCTCTACCCCACTCTTTGCTGGGTACGTAGAACACTCTGCACTCGAAGGTAACTCTACCATCGCTTCATCTCTCTGCTGTCTTTAGGAACAGATTTTCCTCTTTCCTCTTTGAGGCAAAAGTCGTCAGCCTAGTTGGCACCAGCTCTGACCTCTGCATTTCCTCCAAAACAGAGAAGAGGCCATCCTTCCTCATGGCTGGAAGCACAGAATCACAGAATCTCTAGACAGAGAATAACCTAACGGCTGTGTGTGTAATTCAAACACAGAATCGATACTTAAATCCCCTCCAGTCACTTCCTGTCAAGCCAGCCTCCACTTGAGTCCCTCGGCAGGGTAGGAATTTGAGTATCACTCTAATCCACACCAAGGAAGAAAATCTCTCAAAAACCGTGAGATACCATTGACAATCAATATTGTCCTTCTAAAAAACTGAATTTAAACAGATCAAAATAGGAAGCTCTGGGTTCACCTGGAAAGGACAACCGAAAAAATACAGAATCATTGTTGATTATTGTTTGGTTTAAGCCGAAAGGATTAGAGAAGATCAGATCTCCACTGACAACCACACTACTCACCTCACATTCTCCAGGATGTTTAAAGTCTCTACCTTTATAGGGATATTTCCTTTGGCAGGTAAGGACCCTCAATATTGAAGTATTTAGCCTTCTGCCACCAGTTGATATTCAGAATTCGTCCTAGGTAGGAAGACTCTTTTCCTAATTACGTTTTGTAAATTCTATGACGTAAGAAAGTTCTTAAAAGACGTCTTAAAAGTTCATTTAGATAATATTAAGTTTGTAAAACATGTAGCACACCACCTAACATTTATTAAGAGCACAATAAATGTAATTTTTTTTTACCTCCTTTGTCTTTACTCGTTACGCTTTTCCAGTCCTCTTTAAAAGCTAGCTTTATTTTCAAATAGCTCAAAATTATTATTATTATTATTTTTTGTCTATTAGCTAGTTCAATTCTAACTTTTTTCCCACTAAGTTACAGGATGTTTTCCAAATCATGTATTGTGTAAGTAACATGCAGGATTCAGAAATAATTATGCCACTCTTAAGCACTAGGTACCCGTTCCCTCACCCGAAGAAAGCCTGTTAAGACCACCCCAGGGCTATTTGTATTCTTCATTACATTAGCCAAGAAATTTTCAGTGCTGAATTTGTAGCTGTCAATCAGAAATGGACTTTGCAGGACTAATTTGATTTCTTAATGAAGCACTGATGAGGCCAAAAGAACCAGGCTCCGCTCCACCTACCACACTGACAAACCACATAACTGCAGTCAATTCGCTCTTTCTCTTGTGGTCCAAACTTCCAGACAATGTTCAGATCCTTCTACGGCTACAATTCTGGCTCTGTATTTTCTAAAAACTGGTCTCATCCAGTTTTCTTTGGAGACTCAACATACACTCTCCTGGCACTGTCTTCAGTTCTCATGTGTACTCCAATGAATGGATTCCAAGGGCTAGATCGTCTGCAAGAACATCTCAAGTACTGGGAGGGAGTTGGAGGGTATGCAAAGTGTGATCCGTGGACCATCTGCATCCCACCACCCGGGTGTTCATAGGGATAATTCAACAGATTCCTAGGTCCTTCCCCCAATATGCTTATTTAGAATCCGGGTGGGAAGGGACCTTGGAATCTACGTTCTTCATAGCTCTCCAGGTGATTCTAAAGCATATTCAAGTTTGAGTACCCTATGCATATTTTTCTCAAAACAAACAGAAGAGGGAGGGGTTGGGGGGGCTACAAAACCTCAGTGATATATTTTAAAATAAAATAAGAAGTTCGATGTCTTAGTCTCAATTTTCCGTGCACTGAATCCTTCAATTAGGACTACTGTCCTGTTTTTTGCGGTTTGACTCAGTCAAGTCTTGTTCACCCTTATCCTGCCTGCAGTTTTCTTTCGAGTTTCTCCTGAAAGGTTATACAATATAAGTTGTCTCTCATGTAATTTCTAAACCTACATTTTGTTCAATAAATGCCTCAGGATAACTTATTTCTGAGTCCTCCTTCGCATTCTTCTTCTATGCCTACTCTCAGTCCTCCTTATATAGAAGGCAAATGGAAAGCTGACACATTACCACCTTGC